TACACAGTCTCCCCCAGGCATTGAGAAATCAAAGAGAACATATATAGCTACAGCTAGAGAGAGAGAGAGAGCACATGCAAGGTTAAGATAACAAGTCTAATTCACAGTTGCTTGAACCTCTTCCACCACATCCAGAATCTTGGTGAGCAAAAGCAGACTGAAACATCACTGATAATATAGTGTATTTGTCTCCTATCAGCATAGATCCACTACCAGACCGGTAGCCAATCCGATCAGAATACAATTTATCTTATCCATGAACAAAATTGAAAAAGTGTTTAGTGTTACGCCTTTGTTCTGTTTCATAGTGTGTATCACTAAGGTTTCTTTATAGCAGAAACTGATGGATTAAAAATGATTATTTTGGAAGTCTACAGAGTCATAACATTTTATATGAGTAAATAATTTAGTCAAGCAATAATCATTATTTTAAAAATGTTTCCAGATTATAACCATGTATCTTGCATGCTGGCCTGACAGCCATGATTCATGATCTCTTAAAAATGTTGATGTTAGACTAATGCCGTGCTCTCTGATGTGAACTACCTAAAAGGTTGATCTACCATCTTCAGTTAGAGCAGAATATGACAGCTCAGTTGTCATAGTGGTGGGGGTGAACAGAGGGGTCTGTCTAGCTGTTACTGCATTCACTTCATGAGCTGCCTGTGTAGGCACATATTGAATTTAAAGTTTTGATTTTAACTCTTAAGGCCCTTAACAGAGTGTGTCCCTGATTCTTTACTGAGCTAACAACTTTCTGCACTCCATTATATCCTCTGAGTTCTGGCAAATCAGGAAGTTTGTAGCCTGGCACATCCAAGGGCAGGAAGTGTGAGGATCTGCAGGGCTAGAACCTTGGTTGGTGAGTTCCTTAGTGACTGCCACATCCACATTTCCACCCAACAGCCCTGGTAGAGCTACAGTTGACAGGCTAAGAGCCTTGTGAGGCCAAGCACCACTAGCTGCCCTACTCACAGAGGCCCTCATTGGTATAACTTACTGCATTCCCTCCTGGTTGGCCAGACATGGTAAGACCTAGGGGAAACACCTAGAGGCAGTCTGTACAATGAGACACATCCCTGAACCTGCTGCTGAGACAGACCCTGCCTGATTCATTTGTCCTTGCCTGGTTCCTGGTTCCTCTCCTTGTTCCTGGTTCCCAAGTCCTCACCTTGCTCCTGCCTTGGACCCATCTCTGCTTCTGCCTTCCCTAACTCTAGGCAACCTGGTTCTGACCCTCTACTCCAATTCCTGGCTCAGACTCTGATTTGACCCTCAGCTCTGGCATCCAGCTTCCAGTTCTGGTCCTGAGCCTCAGTTCGGTTTCCTGGCCCCTGACTCCTGCTCCAACCACTAGGCCTGAATCCTGCTCCAACCACAGCACCTGGCCACCCATGCCCCGGTTCCTGACACGAAGGGATATTGTCCATCTGTTTTATTTCTATAGCCCCAGAGTTATGGGATGCCTTTTCTTTTGGTGTGAGATGAAGTTTAGTCTCTGTGTTAAGCGTAATTAAACCTTTTTTATTTTAATAAAAAGGCTTTTAGCACAGCAGATTGGTTTTATTTATAATTTTAATCTGATTTTAATTATTGTATGTTTTTAGTTTTTTAATCTGGACTTGTTTTTATTTGTTTTTGTTTGTTTTTGGAAACACCTAGGATATTTTGTTGATAGGTGGTGGTATACATTTAAGCAATTTATTTTTATCATTTTATTTTAAAAAATCCGTCATTCCTTGACTCTAGTGAATAAACTTAATTTATTCTACAATTCTTTTAATCAGCCTCTGATATAGTAGTTACCTAAGACAATGACAGCTTTCTCTAAGAAAAAAACCTTTTTTTTACATTAATATATATTATCCAAGTCATAAAATCATAGAAATTAGCTGTTGAAAGTGAATAAGTCATCTAGTCTGCCCCAAGGTGGCAATGCAAAATTGAATGTTACTTGTTTGTTTAACATTTTCCAAGATAATGTCCATTCTTTTAGGCAAAGGTAGACCGAAAGAAATACAATGAATGCCTGTTGGTAGCTAAAGTTGCATAGTTACCTATTAATATCTTCCTATGCTAATCTGCCTTCTAGACAGAAAACATGTTATTACCTCTCTAGGAAGTTCTATAGTTAATGAGTGGTATTCTGGATAGAAAAAGATGCATGTCTAGGAAGGAGTCAGCCTATTGATGAGAGACTGCCTTTGAGGGAATCTTAAACACTTATCTTTGAAGTACCTCCATATGCTGATCTACCTTCCAGGCAGAGAAAACAGTTATCTGCTGCAGCTTTGGTCAAATACTTGCTTTCCAAGCCAGCTTGAAAGAACACATTGTTTGGAAACCTAAGATCTACCATATAGGTAGATTTCCTATTATGAATTCAAGATTGTATCAGTGAAAAGGAATATTCGTGCTTGACACTTTTTAAAAAATTATTGCTATATCAGATTGTTTAAATGCCAAATGATTTAGCTGGTGTTCATTGTAAAACCATTAGTCCTATTAAGAAATTAATTTAAAGGCTCACAAGGTCTGTTCCCACTTTGGCAGAAGGTGATTGAGAAAGTGGTCACAGAGCAACCCCAGAGGCACTTGAACCATCATAATGTTCCTATGTCTAAAATGAACAACATGGTCTTGTTTCTTTAACCCTCGCTCTTCCTTTCCCCATTCTCTCCGTGCATGTTTATTGTAAATATTAATTGCATCATGTCTAAGGGCTTGTTTACAAATAGATGTTACACCAGTTTAAGTTAAACTTGTTTTTTAAAGCAAGTTAGTTAAACCAATTTCAATCCCTGATTTAGTAGTTCAGTTTAAAAGTGGCTTATTTCAGTTGCTTAAATCTGTTCCTAATCAATTTAAGCTAAATCAATATAAGCCAGATTTATATTAGTTTAAGAATTTCCACATAGCTTTCTGCACTGGTTTAACCAAATCAATTTTTAAATCAAACATTTAGTTAACTGGTGTAACTTTGCATGTAGATAAGTCTTAATAAGTCTTTCAGGAAGGAGTCGTGTTTTTCTGTCTGTTCTGTAAGGTGCCCAGCATGCTTTTGCATACTGCAGAATAATAAAAATGGGTGGAATGTGGGAATTTTTATGCGTTCCATTTGGTCCAAGCCCTGGGTATAGTACAGAGAAGATGTTAGTATGTGTCATGGAATATTTTCTTTAGGTAATGGATGAGACACAGCTCTCCCTGCTCTTTATATGGGATCTAGCAGTTGCTTTTGATAGTTACTGAGCTCAATATGTGGATTAGCTGGGGTGGATGGAATTACTGTAGAATAGTTCTTTTTTTTATTCCTTTTGAACCCTTGTCTGTCTTCGGTTGGGGTGGGGCTTCCAGTCATGGCCCAGGTAGCATAATTATCTTTCTTAAAGCGCAAAACAAACAAAACAAAACAAAGCGAAACTTTTTAAAATGCTGAAATGTAAAAGGGGATTGTTCCATGGATTATGGGCTTGGTCCTGCACTGCTGAAATGAAGAAGGATCATCCCAATGCTTAGGGCATTAGCTAGGGCCTCAGACTGCCTGGGCGCAGTTCCCTGCTCAGCCACAAACACCCTATGTAACGTGGAGCAACTCAGTGAAGTCTCTTTGCCCTAGTTCTCCATCTGTAAAATGTGGAAATAATAGCACCTCCCTACCTCATGGGGCTGTTGTGAAGATAAATACATTCAAGACTGTGAGGTGCTCAGATACTACAGCAGAGGGGCCATGTAAGTACCAGAGACAGATAAACAATAGATCAAGTGGCCAATCTCCAGGGCTATCAGTCTGCTACCTCTCAAATTCACTTAATTTTTTTTTCCAGCTAGGAATGCAAAGTGCAGTGTCTAGATTTCAATTTTAATTTATTCCACTGGATACTAAAAATAAAGCCCAGCTGAACATATAAGCCTAGAGCTTAAAAAGTTATCGTCAAATTATGTTTGGTGCAATGCGGGAATGACCCTAATAACGTGTTTGAAGTACTGTTTGATAATTTGACACTTCTGGGAGTGGCAGTCACGAAGCCACAAAAATATGACCCAGAATGCTGAGTGTGGTGTTTAAAATGGAAAACTACTTTTAATAAATATAATGCACATAAACTGAATCAGTGAGTGTAATATTCGGAAGTGAACTGAGCTGCACAGTGATTTGGCTAAAAACAGTGGGCGGCAGTGGGTGTGACTGCCACGATTCAGCGACAATGGGACTTCTCTCCCATGGCTAACTAAAGGTAGAGACACATTCACACTTAAGCTCCAAGTATTTGGAGAAAAATGAAAACCTTGCAGAACAGTGTCATTCTCCAGGTGGATGTCAGCCTGTATTATTTTTCAACAGCCCTCTTGTGAAGTATTAATGTAGCCTCCAGCTACAGAGTAAATGCAGTATGGGAGGCAGGTAAAGGCAGGCCAGCATTAAGGGTTAGTCAGTTACTCTGTCATTCTGTGAAGTAGCCCAAAATAACTCAATCTTAAGGTAATGACAGTTCTTTGGCATGCATAATGACTGCTCAGGGTCAAGTTAATGAAAGAGAGCCTGTTCTGTAATACCTATTGCTCGCTTAACAAAACAAAAACAAAAAACAAACTTTAACGCTGACAGCTAAGTCAAATAGCACAAAATGCTACATTTTGCATTTAAACACAGAAAATCAATATAGTGATGATATCATGTGCTTTTGCATTCTGTTTATAGATATGTTTTCTCTTGCAGAGATTATAATTCCTGTTTAATTTATAAAAGTCTTATCTTTAAAAATAAAATAAATAAAACAAAGTGATAACACAAGCCTTTATTTTAAAGGAAAACACATATATGGGCCATAACTTGTTATTTACAAATGGTTCCTTGGCTGTCAATGGGAGAGCTATATGCTGAATGAAGTTAGTAGAATATGGGCTATTTATGTATGTATTTTGATTATCTACAGTCTTTGAAAATGGGGTATTTCCATGGTAAACAATCGTTGACAGTAATTTTTTTTTCACTCTAGAAGCGGAAAGCTAAATAACCATTTAGAAGCTGCTATACATGAGGCCATGAGCGAGCTGGACAAAATGTCTGGGAATGTAAGTCTCTTTGCTGTCTAGTTGTATAGTTTTTATTGTGTGGGGTTTTTTTTCTTCATTTTTGTGGCGTTTTCAAGCAGTCACTCTTTTTGTAATTATTATGATTTAACAACTTAAAAGTTGAAAAAGATTTATAATTTCAGTTAGACTGTAACTACTCTGCATTATTGCTCTCCACCCAGAATAACTATTGTACATATCTTTCATGTGTGAGGCCTACCAATATTTTGAACAGAGCCTAATCTCCCACTAATATGCCTGGAGTTTTGCCCTCAGTAAGGAGTGCAAGAATTAGACCCAATTGTTTTCCAAGTTTGTATATCAAGATGTTGAAAGTATATTAAAAAAATCTTTTGACTGTAACACTCCATTGAATAATCTAACATGAAATGAAAAATATTATAGGAAGTAAATTAAGATGAAGATCAGAACCTGACTGTGGTTGTTTTATTTTTTGTTTCCACTTTTATTTTGTGGCATACGGACAAAATAAATCTCTGATAATGTAATACACTTTTAAAATATATTTGGAGATTTTTTTTGTACTCTTATTATAACAGAAATCCATGCAGATGATTAAAAATTAAGTGCAATACATTAAAATACTCAAACTTCTAATTAATATTTTATTAAGTATTAATGGTTTAGCTTTTAAAATAAAATTGAATTTTTTCCTGATATTATAAACCTCAACCCTGAAAAGACTTATGCACATGCTTAACTTTACACAATCAATAAGGCTTAAATGGATCTATTTATGGTGCATAAAATTAAGTATATGCAGAAAGCTTTGCAGAATTGGCACCTTAGACTTGGTTTTAGTACCATCTGGAAATAATATTAGTGATACTGTCTGTATCTCTTGCTGTCTGCTTTGAATTGTTGATAAAACTGAACATTTTGATTATTAGATTTACTAATACAGAATTCTGGGTTTTCATCTAAATCAATGGCAGTTTTGTAACTGACTGCAGGGGAGGTAAGATCTAATCATAGGTCTCTATAAGACCATCTATCCTACAAATATAACCAAACCAGGTGATCTGGTTATGATACAGTTGGCCTTTAACCCTGTTACATCACAGTTAAAAATGTTTGCCTGGACAGTTTCTATTGTATCCATGTCATTTCATCCAGTTATGCAACCCAGTTGCAACAGATACATGCTACAACTCTTAACTATGATGCAAGCTGGGTCAGGAAGAAACTGTGCTGTAATCAGGTTCCCTGACCAGGTTGTTTTTGTTGTGTTGACAAGCCTGATGTAACAAATTTTGTATCCTAAAATAATCTCTCATGAGCTGCATGACAGGCTTTGTCACAAAATCCTTAATCAAGATGAGGTTTATTTTCATAAATACTATGATGGTTGGGAATAATAGGGTCAGAAAATCATAGGACACCAAATGTAGTTCTTACAAATTTTGAAATAAGCTTTTTTTAATTATCATTGTTTAGGCAGGACTAGTACATTTAAAATTTAACACATGTACAGTACAATTGACATAGAGCATAACTGATGCTAGCAATAACATCTGTTGAATATATGATAAAATTCTTCAAGACCACTAGAATTTAAGATAGATGACCATGACAAGAACAATATGAAAAAATGTCTAAGGATTTGTAATTTTTGATTAACTGTTGTTTGTAACCTACTGATTGCTTTTTTCCAGAATACATAGCCTCACTTCTACCAACAGATGGTGGTGGTATTCCATATAAAACAGCAGTACATTGTTTTGCATTCCGTCTCTCGTAGCTGTGTTAGAAATGTTTTTAATAGTTTTATATGATCATGATCTTTCCTCCCAGCTTTGAACTTGGAACTAATAATAGACATTGAATGAAAAATAATTGATTAAAAACATTTTCACATGCTAATTAATCTACTGTTCAACTTGAAATTAATGATGTTGGATGAAAACAGTTTGCTCAAAATAGTTTATCCCTTAAATTCATGTCTCTGGTAGTGCTGTAAGTCTCTCTCAGTTTCCACATTCTATTTTCCCAGTATATCCCCTTCTTTCTTTCTGCAGTTATCCCAGTTTTGTAAACAATTTCCCCTGGAGCTTAACATTATTACCACTTTGTGCTTCAGTTCCTTGTATACTATATAGTGATATGTAAGTGGTATCTTTCTCCTGAGACTTGAGGTATTCACCCTGTAACAGCTATGTTCAACTCCCTTCAGTCCAGAGGTTAATGTTCTTGAGTTTACTTCTAATTCTGCTTTTAATGTGGAAATTAAAAGCTGTATCACCAGGGAAGCATAATAACTTTTCAAACAATACTGTAATTGATTGATCACTAACAGGTTGCTTTATTTAATTTTCTATGCTAACCTTTTCATATACTTATTTTCTAGGTACACCAAATCCCACAGGGAGACAGACAGGTGAAGCCTCCAAAACCGAAGAGGAGGAAGATCTCTAGATAACATTGAATGTCTTTGTTACTGGTCCAGTACTTATCAAATTGAACATGCACATAAATCAGTATATAGGTATTGATATAGATATATCAATATTTATATCAAGGACAGATAGATACCATCAAAGGGTGCTATGAGAAATAGTGGTACAATATTTTTGTTGATAGAGTCAGATAGTTATGCTGGATAAACCAATCAGATTCCTTGAAAGCTTACAGTAAAAATATCAGATGATTACTGAATTTTTTCTATAATACTAAAATTATGATTATAAAAATAGTCCAAATGTTTCTGATAAATTTTCATTGTGTATATAGATAATACAGAATTTCATGGTGATATCTGAAATGTAAATATTGTACAATATTGTCATGTACAAGCGTACCTAATGCACACTTTATCTTTTATTGTACAAAAAAATAGTGTACAAAATTCTTTGGTTTCTATTGAGTACACATACAAGAGACTACCAGTGTAAAGTGATAAATAAAAATACAGCCTAAATGCTTTTATATGATAATGTAAAAGATGCTGTTTTTGTATTTAACAGCAGAGAAAAGGCATGATTATGTAATACCTTAATTATGACATACACTTCACACCACTGAGTGTTCATTTATATTGTCTGTTTGGAATGAACCTTGCCTGGAAGTACTGTACTCCATTTCAGGTCTCTGTAGGAGAGTGCAACCTTGCAGATTCCTAAAGGGATGTGGGATCACAGGTCTAATTAAGAATTCAAAAGCTGCAACAACTGGTTGCATTTTATTTACTTAAGTTTTAAAGTAGAATGCTGTAGATTTTTTATTTAAAAAAAAAAAAAAAAAAAAAAAAAACTTAGATGGAATATTTTAGTCAGCCATTTCTGTAGTTGAAGTTTCATAGCCACCTTCTAAACTAAGCAATTTATACCACCATTGACTTTGAACTCCCCCCAAACCCTATATTTGTTAACCGAGGTTGTTTAACCTGATTAAACATACTGTTTACATATATGAGGGAATGGCCCTATTTTGAAAATATGAGTGTTAATGTTGATTACAATTTGATTTTGCAATGGAATAAAAGGGCATGCTCCACAGCGTTCCTAAAAAATCTAGTATCCCTCTTACAGTATTATTAAACTAGAAGTTAAAGGTGGCTTACAAAACTATTAGCAACAGTAATTTTATCAGTATTATGTAACATATCAGATTTATTTTATTTAAAAAGAATTATTTATACCATTAACAGATTCTTATATATATTAATGTGGCTGAAATGTGCAGGTTAAATCTATTAACCAAATTATTTATGTTATATTAAGTGAATAATGTGAAACATATGTAGAAAGGAAGTAATACACTACAGATATACAAGCCTAAAGCTGTGAGCCATTGTAAAAATAACAGAAAGTTAATAAGTGTAGCACATCATCATTTTTTTCACGTTGTGGTGATGGTACACCCTCCTTCCCAAAGTAAATTCTCATTGTGCCCTGCCTTGTTCTGAGATGGAGTCCTTAAAATGGACCTCTTCATCTGGGAATCACCACGTCTTTAACCTGGAATTCCTTTTTCCCTGGAGTGGCAAATTCGCGTCCTCTAGTTAAGACTGTTAGTAATCAGCATCCTCTGAGGCTGATGACATTGCCACTCTACTGATAACCACCAGTTGGCACTTGTACTGCAAGTAACTATTCCTCTCCCCATTGACTTTCCCCAGAACCCAAACTCAATTATCTGTGTGACATGACTGAGATCCATTGGCCCAGAGGATAAAGAGACCTGAGGACATTTCCAAACTCAGCTTTCTTGTGCCACAGCACATAGCACTACCACTGGGCTAACCTACTTTTTCATGTCTCATACAGACAGCTCTTATTTCTTTTTCCCCCCACCCCAACCTGATGGAATGCAATTAGCTACACTAAGCTACAGTGGCCTGGAGGCAGGAACCCTTCCTTCTACTGGGTAGGTTCATTTGTCTTTTGTGTAATGGCAGGACAGACTGCCATGGTCCTACATGCAAACTCATGTGAAGTGATCTTTTGTGTAGTTTAGTTAACACTTTTTTGTTACAAGTTGATGTGTTTGTTATGTTTAAAGAGTTAATGTTGTCCATTTTTCGTATCAGCCTGCTTTTCTGCTGTTTTGTCTACACAATGTTTTTATTCATAAATACACGTGTGTGTGTGTGTGTGTGTGTGTGTGTGTGTGTGCGCGCGTTTGTTTATATTTAGTTTGGTTATTTTACCTTTTGCTTTTCTGTCCTAACACTGAGTTTGTATTGACCAACCCTTCTTTTGGCATTTTAACTAATTAGGTTTGTACTTTCTCACCAATGTATACTTTACATTAGTAGACTATGTAAAGTATTTTTGTGCACTTGATTTCATTGGTTAATAATGGCATTGATGTGGGTGCTAGGAGTAGTTTGTTTCAGTCCATACAGATTTTTTTCTCTTTTAGAGTTTTTATGGTTTCATGTAAGCAGTTAATGTAAATATTGTGAGCATTACAGGTCATGCAGTGTTGTAACATTTTAAAAAATGTTGCACCTACTTTACAATTAAAAAACTGGTCACTCATACTTGAATTTTGCCCATAGAGCCATTTCTTTCTCTTTGCATTAAAGCATAATATACTTTTTTGATGGAGGCCCAGACCTTCTTTCTACATCATTATTTTTTGTTTAAAAAAATCTATATTTTTTCTAATAGAAGACTTAAAATGAAAAATTTTTAAAATACTTTTTGCCTAGTTTCTAATTTAAGAGAGTACTCCTATATTTAGAGGGTGACAAAATACTCCATTGTGGAAAGTGGAATAATATTTTAATTGTCATTAATTTGGCACAGTCACGTTATTCTGTGAACTTTAAGTGACTGATGAAAGTGAGTCCACAAGAGGAATTAGTTTTTAATTACTGGTAGCTTAATTATTTAAAATTTGTATTGTCTTTTGAGGATACAAAGTATTCTCATTATTTATTTATTTATTTATTATTTATTATGCCTTATTTATCAAATGGGTTGTAGAATGTTGAGTCATTCCAAATGAGATAAAAATCAAAGGTATTATTCCTCTTTCTATCATGGTGCATTTTTAAACACCATTTAAGAAAAAATATTTTCATTCATTTCAATGGACTTCCTTCGTATTCCTGCTTCCGACAAAAAAGTTATTGCTGGAATCAGCTATGAAAATAGCTTCCCCATAGGCCAACAAACACATACATTTGGGATGTCCCAGGTCGGTTATATTCAGTCTAAGATTTAAAGTGCTGCTCTTTTTTAAAAAAAAAATTTGAATGTTAAGTTATTTACTAAGTCAGTTTTACAGAAGGTTTAGAAGTAATGCGCTATCATCTGAGTCCCGGAGTTTGAGGAAATAGAGGGCTCATGATGGACTGAATTACCTTAGAAATACTACCTTTCTTAGTTACAGTTTGTATTTTGCTATGTAGGGTTGTAATGTGAGAATTCCAGCAGAGCACTAGCATAAAAATGCTTTTCTATTTTAAAAAAAAAATCAATTCTAGTCTTACTAAGAATTAGAAAAAAATTTAATATCAGTTTTGTAATTTTTGATAAAGTTGTCAATATGATTAAATCACCAAAAAAAATTACTGTGATGTTCTCTTCGGGGCAGGGACCATGTCTTCCTTTATGTTTATAAAATTCCTAGCACAGTGGGACCCTGATCTTGAATGGGGTCACTGGCTGCTACCATAGTATTAAATATTAGATAATAATGTTACAGTTAAGTAAAATACACAAAACCAAGATAATTCACAAATGAGAGTGAAAATCAGATTCCTTATCCTTAGTTTATCTGTTGTACCCAACTATTACCACAAAGATGTAATATCATCCAGGTAAGTTTAGAAAATAGGTGCCTGATCAGCTGTTGATTCTTTTACCCACAAAAACCAGGATATTCTGTCTTAAGTCAAAACATAACTGCAGCTTTAACAGAGTTTTTGGTTATTTCCCTTTGCTGTGTTTTTAACAGTACTAACTGAAATCTTTAATTCACATTTCAAAATTCCCTCAGTAAGTATCTTTAACCAATAGGCATTAGCATCTGATGATGTGTACTGGTAAAATATAAAACATATATAATAGACACACTGTCAGATTCAGTGCAAACACAGTTCAACTCAATGGTGTTATTTACACAATGTGTCAAAAACAGTATGAGGAGTTCTCCACAAAGATCTCGTAATGGAATTGGTCACTGATCATCCAGGGTTTACCTACACATATCACACAAGCCATGGTGGCCCCTCTGCCAATCCTATCAAATTTCTAGCTCTCTGTGGGAAACAGCTTCCTCAACTGCTAGATCTGGGCACCCCACCCCTCCCAGTCCCTGCCAGCATAGTTCCTATGGAACTGTACTACCAATGTTTCCCCTGGCCTTAGGGGCAAGGTTTGTCTGTGGAAAAGATAATGGAGCTCTGGCTAAAAAAAATGTTTATGACAGCTCTCAGCTATAGAGACTAGCTCCTTTGTTACTTACCTGGTATATATCCATCAGTCCTGTATTGTAAATTTGGGTTTATTCAAAGGAGATTATGAGAACTTTGCCCCTAAAGGACATCACCCTAATAAACCTTGGCCAGTTAGAAGTGCAACAGGAGTTCTGCCTTTGTGGTTTAAAGGCAAAGAGCCTGATTCTCAATGACCTGCACTTTGGGCAGTCATTTACACTAGTGTGCAAGGTAGTGTAAACCACTACCCAGTCAGAATGGGAGGACATTGTCCTTGCATTCCACTAGTGTAATTGAGTATACAAGAGGCAAGGCAATGGAGAATCAGGCCCAGATTCTTTGCTTCTCTCTCTCTCTTCACCAGGCTTTACTTTATTAGTTCATTTTGAGCAATGAGAACAACAACAAAAAATGGAAATGTTTGTGGTTTGTTTTTGTTTTTTTTCCCCCTGAGAGCACAGCCTTGAGAGGTTTTTCTCCTTTCAGGTCTAATTGCTGTGAACTCAGTGCTTGCCTACACATTGAAGTTATTCTGGATAACGTAGGAAGTGAATTTAAAGTGGAATAATTATTCTGGAATAATTCCAGGTATGGACATTCGTATTTGGAGAGGGCCTTTTTCCATTTTAGCTTAATCCACTTTGAAAAAGGCACTATTATTCCACACATGGAGTTATTAGAATATCTATTCCAGAATAACTCCGTGTGTAGGCAAACCTTAGAAAGACGGGCTAATGGCCATTCATCAGAATAGATCATCAGTAGATAAAGAAGAGCGCGCGCGCACACACACACACATTTTGTATTAGCTGATACTTTACAACCTACCAGTAGAAATCCATACCAAAGGATGTTGGAACTGAATTCAGAGTCTGGGTCCAGATTTGAATAGCACTTATAAGACTTGTAGTAACAAATACAAAGGTCTCCATTCCAACCATTTATATAGGTCAAGACCTGTCAATGAGAGACAGGGTTATTGGATGATGAAAAATTTGCAGGTAAGTCCTAGTGGTGTAGATTATTTCAGTGAGGAGATAAAATTACAATTATGTATTTATTTATAAACTGTTTTATCTAGAACCAGTGGTGTCCATAGTACTGTGCAGACAGGTAAGAATTCCATGTTCCTGTCCTGAGGAAAGTGTTGGGTCAACAAAATTAGAAATGGCAACAGAACTGGCAGCAGAACTTGGTGGTGCGACAGCAGAGAGAACACAAAAACATGGAAGAAAGGAAAGCTACTTTTGGCAAAACATAATATGATGATAACCTATGAGTCAGTGGGTTTCTGTTTCACATTTACCTGAGGATCTGGGAGGTAGTTTTAATCTGCCTGAGAAAGGGAAGCTCACTGCACCAAAGCTGAGATGAGTGATAGAAAGCTGGTCAAAAGAAAGATTTGTGATGATCCTGTGCAAGGAACTGGGTTTAGAGAGGGCATATTAGGTTACCCCTGCCAATTCTAGAAGTTTGCATGCATGCAGTATCTATCAAGCTCTAAACCAATTTGTATTTCTAAAGCAGAAGCATTAATTAATTCCTGTTGGTATAAGGAAAAGAATTTATGGGTCTTCTAGTAGTATCCATGTGGGTGCTCCATTGTAGGTGTAAATGCGCCTCTAATCAGAGATTTTAGGTAGCAGAGTCTGTTTGGCCCGCACATGTGCCTTCCCTCCCTTATGGACTGCCCTGAGACTATCTATTGCTGCGAAGGCAAACCACCCTCATTTCCTTCCCAACCACCCTTGGCTTGGGAACATAGAGAGTAGCAGTCCAGCTTGCTTACCTCTTTTCATATTGATAGTGTTTAGTTTATAGTTTTAAGTTTATAGTTTTTCTTAGAATTTTCATTGCTTTTGTAGTGCCTATAGAGCTTCTGGGTTTTTTTTTCAATTCTTTAAAATAAAAAAAAATCTTTCGACTCGTTTTCCCACTTTTTGTTGTGAGATCTTCCCTGTAGGGGCATGCCCAGCTCCCTCGGCTTCAAAAGGTGCTTTTTGTGCTGGGAGGCAATCCCTGTGATGGAAGTACACTCGTATTGCATCTGATGCCTAGGAGAGGCACATATTTCACAGAAGTGCACCTTCTGCCAACAGCTGAAGGCTAGATCCTGAAAGAACCAGAAACAAGAATTGAAACTATTCCTCATGGAGAGTGCTCTTAAACCAGCATCTAACCCCAGTTCCAAATCCTCTCCAGGACCAAGATTGTCCTCAGAGCCTTCAACTTCTAGAGAGGGAGAATTGCAGAGAAAATTGGCTGATTCCCCTCTCAAAACTTCTAGAAAAAGGGCTGCAAGCCCTGAAACCGAGCTCTTGATCAGCCAGAGGGGATCCCCTGTGCATTTGGTCACCTCAGAACCAGTGGCACCAATGGCTCTAAAGCACACCACCCAGAGCTCTGCAGTAATAACCTAAGACCCCATAGGGCACAGGCTCAGGAGTGATGGCACCACCTGCCAAAGATAAGAATAGAAACCATACCATCGCTATGAAATTGGCACTGACAAAAAGATCCTCAGCACCGGGTGCTTCAAAGCAGCCCCCAATGGAATGTATCTTCCGTAAAAAACCCTCAATACCGACGGTCCCTGGCGGCAACTACCGCAACATCGGTACCACAGGCGTTCCACTTCTCTGGGGATCCTACAGTTGTGGAGGAACCAGATTTCCCAGTACTTGGTACTGGGGCTCCAGTACCAAGCACGTCTCAATCCCCAAAACCACCATCAGCACCGGGACATTTGCCTCCAGCACCCCTATCAACCCACCTTACACCAGGGGGACTCAGATAATGACCAACATGACAACTTACCGCTGGTCTCACATCACAACACTCCGTTAAAGCATCTGGGATGCTCCAATCCCCAATCTTCCTGGTATGGTCACCCTTGGCGTCTGGGATCTGTGGGTAGGCTATCTAGTATCTCCCTCAGAGAGCCCACCAGATGACCCCCGTAGCCTTTTTATCCAGAGCCCCAGGAAGAAACTTTCTAGGAGTAGGAGGCCAATTGTAGGTGGAAACTACTCCACCGACGAACACCTTCTCTTCCTCACTTGATAAGGTGGTGATGCCCCCTCCTCCATCGTTAACTGATGATTTCATGATCTTACTAAGAGGGCGTCTGAGGCTCTGCATATTCTCCTTGACGAAGTGAAAGACTAACACCACAAATTGTTGGACATAGTACATACCTCTTCCTCTTTGAGAATTGGCACTCGCACTCAACAAGGCACTATTCGACCCTGCCAAAATCATCTGGCAGACACCTATTGCACCAGCATACAAGATGGCAAATAACGAGTATTATGTGCTCCACAAGGAGGCAGATTTTCTTTTCACGCGCCCTCAGCCCAACTCTCTCATGGAAGCTGTTAACACGTGAGGAAAGCAACATCACACCAAATCCACCCCCCTATGATAGAGACTGGAAGTGGCTCAACCTGTTTGGGAGGAAAGCATATTCATTGGCGATTTTAAAATTCAGGGTTTCAAACCAACAAGCTCTAATTGTCAAATATGACTACGTGAACTATGGAAAACTCAGCGCCTTTATTAACCACTTGCGAGAAGCACAAAAGGAACAATTTCAAGCCATGATCCAACAGGGCCACTTGGTAGCGAGAACAGTGCTACAGACTGCACTGGGTGTGACTTTCACAGTGGCCCATTCAGTCTCAATGGCAGTGGTAATGAGACGGGCATCCTGGTTACACTTCTCAGGGTTGCCGAAATAAGTGCAGATGATGGCTGAGGACCTCCCATTCAACAGACCCAAACACTTCGCTGACAAAACAGGTGCATCACTCCACACCTTAAAGGACTCTGTAGCCACACTGTGTTCACTAGCAATCTATACACTGGGACAGAAGAGGAAAATCAGTTCACAACCACCTCACAGATTCTGTCCACCTCAGTTCCCCCCCATCACAATGGTATTATGAGCCACAGCAAAAGAGACCTAGAATGCGAAGTAGAGTTGTCAGCTTCCCAATCCTCATTCTCTCAACCCTCGTCCTCCAAACGCCAGTTTTGATGCGTTGATCAAGGCCCCAAGTGCTCCTTGCAACAACAACAGCTACTACATAGACCTTCCACATCCCTTTGGAAGTCACCTGACTCTCTTCCTCAGGAGTTGGGAGAACATCACCTCTGACAAATGGTTCTTGGAGATTATTTCAAAGGGTTATTCCATCCATTTCACATCCCTCCCTCACCCACTCTCCCCATCCCTCTTCAGGGACCCTTCTCACAAGAGACTATTACACCAGGAAATAGATCACCTGTTATGCCCAGTCCCTACTAACCTTAGAGGCAAAGTTTTTTATTCCCGATACTTCCTGATCCCCAAGAGAAAGGGAGTTTGGAGATCCATATTAGATCTAAGAGCACTAAATAGATATGTGAAGGCACAAAAGTTCAAGATGGTCACGCTAGCAGCCATTATTCCATGACTGGACCAAAGAGATTGGTTCTCGGCCCTTGACTTATAAAATATCTACTTCCACATCTCAATCCAGCTGTCTAACAGAAATTCCTCCAATTTATCTTTCAGCAGGACCATTATCAGTACAGAGTGCACCCATTCAGCCTCCCATCCATACCCAGGGTGTTCTCCAAGGTCCTCTCCATCATATGAACATTAGGTATTGTCATCTAGCCATACCTGGACGATTGCCTTCTTGAGGCTCGTTCCTTCGAAGATGCCCTGTGGCCACCAGAGGGCTATGTATATATTTGCGCAACTAGGGCTCCAGCTCAATATCCAGAAATCTACCTTGACCCCAGTACAACATCTAGAGTTTTTTGGGGACGAACTCGACGGAGTACAAGAGAGAATGTTCCTCCCGCTGCACAGATTCAGCGCCCTGATGAGTCTTATAGAGACCGTCCAGGCCAGCCCACAAACTCCAGCCAGGAATTGCCTCCAACTTCTCGGGCACATGGCGGGATGCACATTTGTGACTCCACAGTCCCAATTGTACATGAGATGTTTTACAAATATGGCTCAGATCTGTTTACTCTCCGAACAAGGACAGGCTAACCAAGCCGCTGTTGATGCCCTCCAGGGTCAAACACTCCCTGGTCTGGTGGAAAGAACCAGCCAACATGCATGCAGACATTCCATTCATACAACCCCCGTCAACACAGATTCTAACAGCAGATGCCTCTTTGATAGGCTGGGTCGCCAACCTAAATGACAGCAAAGTGGCAAGTGGTCTCCCATAAAGTTGTTCTCGATATCAATCTTTTGGAACTGGGAGCTGTCAGAAATGCCTGTGCACACTTTCTCCAACTAATCAGGGATATTCACATGAAAGTCATGACAGACGACAACATGTGCATGTTTTACATAAATCACCAAGGGGGCACTAGATCACCTTCCATTTGCATGGAAGCACTGACACTTTGGAATCTGCCACAATGTGCTCATTTCAGCCACTTGCCTACCAGGGGTACAAAATGTGACAGCTGACAGTTTCAGATGGAATTTCTCATACAATCATGAATGGGTAATGAACCCAGCAGCGCATCATGGTATATGGGGAACCCCGACAATAGATCTGTTTGCTACTTATTGGAACAAGAAATGTCTCCATTACTGCTCCAGGATCAGACTAGGAAAACAGTCTCTAAGGGACGCTCATCTTTCCATGGGGCAGGGAACTGCTATATGTCTTTCCTCCATTCCTTCTGATATCGAGAGTCCTATTAAAGTTACAGTGAGAGAGAGAGAGTGAAAGTCATACTGATTGCCCCCTCCTAGCCGAGGCAAGTGTGGTACCTATACCTTGCACAGCTGGCAGTAGGTCCTCCGATTCCTCTTTGGCCATTCCCCACTTACTCTCCCAAAATGATGGATGGATCCTTCATCGTAATTTACAGCTCCTCTGGCTCCAGGCTTGGCTCCTTCATGGTTCCAATAATTAGAAAGTGAATACTCTGAAGAGGTGAAAGAGATCCTACTGCACAGTAGGAAATCTACGACTTGTCACACATACCTGCAAAAGTGTAAATGCTTCCAAAGTTGGTGCAATTCCAAACAAATGGCTCCCACATCTTCCTCCCTCCCTTTGATCCCAGATTACATTCTAGACCTGAAGAGGTCAGGTCAGGTCTCTCTCTTAGCTCACTTAATGTGCATCTAGCGGCCATAACAAAAAAAAATAGATAAATTCATAGAGGGGATAGGTCCATCAATGGCTATTAGCCAGGATAGGCAGGGATGCTGTCCCTAGCGTCTGTTTACCAGAAGTTCGGAATGGGCCACAGGGGATGGATCACTTGATGATTCCCTGTTCTGTTCATTCCCTCTGAAGCACCTGGCATTGGCCATTGTCGGAAGACAGGATAGTGGGCTAGATGGACCTTTGATCTGACCCAGTATGGCTGTTCTCATGTTCTTACAAAAGCCTTCCACCATCAGGTGGACAGATACTCAGTATCCACCCATCCAACGACACAGGTTCCTCAAGAGCATGGGAAACCTCTTCCTGCACATCAGACCACCCACTCCAACGTGTGAAATCAATTTGGTGCTGAAAACCTGAACTAGACCAGCCTTTTGAACCTATGGCCACTTGCTCCCTCTTACACCTGTCCATGAAGACAGCATTTCTAGTGGCTACTACCTCAGCAGGACAAATAGGTGAAATAGCACTGCAGATGGTACATCCACCGTTCACGGTCTTTATTTTTAAAGACAAAGCCACATCCCAAGTTCCTCCCCAAGGTAACCTCATCCTTCCATATGAGCCAACTAATTAACCACCCCACCTTTTTTCCAAAACCACATCATGACAACAGGGAGGCAATACTTCATATGCTGTATATTAGGAGACCCCTAGCATTTTATTTGGACAAGACTAAGGACATTAGAAAGTCTCCTAAACTCTTCCTTATGTTTGCAGAAAGATCCAACAGCTCTACAAATCAGCTCAAAGACTCCAAATGGGTCTCCAATTGCATTAACCACTGTTACCATTCATGTAACCTGCTGCCTCCATCAGGAATCTGCATGCACTCCACTAGATCTGTTTCTACCTTGTTAAAGATGTCCCCATCTCCTAAATCTGCAGGGCAGCAACCTGGGCTTCTACCAATACTTTCACAGAATACTACACGATTACTCTTTGGTTCCACAGTACTATCATCAATAACTGACTCCATTATGAAGCCCCAGCCCTACATGGGGGATACTGCTGTGAAGTTATCTACGGTGGAGCACTCATGGGAACGCTACTCGAAGAAAAGGAAGTTACTCACCTTGTGCAGTGTAACTATGGTTCTTTGAGATATGTATCCCTGTGGGTGCTCCACAACCTGCCCTCCTTCCCTCTACTTCGGAGTTCTCTATAAGGCGCTCTGCAGTACAGAAGGAACTGAGGGCAGTTTGCCTGCGCAGTGCTAGATAGCCTCGAGGCAGACCACATGGGAGGGGGGCACGTGTGGACCGAACAGACACTGCTAACTAAAATATCCAATTAGAGGCACGGGGTGCAGATACGCCTACAGTGGAGCACCCATAGAGGGGACACATCTCGAAGAACCATCATTACTGTACAAGGTAACTTCCTGTTCTCATTTCTCTGATTTTTCTCTAGTTAAATAAGTCATTGAAATCTAAGGACTATAAAAATCAATTAAAAAAACATTGAAAAGTTTGCCATTATTCACTATCAACTGAGGAAGATGAGCCTACTTCTGAAGAAGAGGATTAAGCTCCTGAAATTCAAAGCAAGCTTTTATGCTGTGTTTGTTTGTTTATTTGGTGCCCAAAAGTGTTCTAGACATGAGAAATGACAGATCTACGCCTCAGAAACCTTAGTCTTCATAAAGCAATTTGTCTCTACCTCTTTACAAAGGAATACAATACAAGATGCATTTATTTTGTATTTGACCTCACATCAAAGTCCCAATTTTTCATTGTTTATTGATCTCGTGCCGGACTGTCATTTTTTTTACTGTGTTCTTTCCTTGCTCAATATCTATTATTTTGATGCTAGTTACTCATTTAAAAAAAAAATCTTGCATCTATGACATTATGCGTACCTGATATGTTTTCCTTACCTGCTTTCCACTGAATCTATTCTCAACTACAAATGTAAATGTTTCTAAAAACTTTTAACTGGTCTAATATCTAATTCCAAAACTAACAGTCAGGTCAGGAAAAGGATATAAAGAATTTGGATATAAAGAAAGATCTTTTTCCAGTAAAAGCTGTGATTATCCATTCAGTCTCCCCATTGACAGAGAAATAAATTAAACAGAAGTAGCTCAATAATGGATGTAGACAAATTGGCAATAAAAGTGTGTTAGATTCACCTAGGTGTTATAATCTCAAAAGTTGATGTGTCAGTGACAGCTGTAGCCAAGTGCACATTTGTTCCATCTGAAGAATTTCCCACACACACACAAAAGATTGTGGGAAATAATATCTTTAAGAAGACAGAGAAATGGTTTGAGCATATGATGGAGGCAGGAACTCATTTATAATCCTAGCTGACACTGGTTCCCTGTGCGCCTTTCAGGTGGGACCCTAGTTTCCCATGTGAGAATAAGCTGTGTAGGGAGAATAAATTCTGAGGTGATACTGAGAGCCTGAAAAAATAATCATTGATGTCATTGGAAAGGCTCCCACTGACTTTAGTGGGCATTGGATCAGGTCAGGCCCTGAGTTTTCTCCCAAATTCTGCAGTCAACGTGAACGGTTGCCGGCCCACCCCATGGAAGTGTTGGGGATTCTGGCCCTTTGATGGGTCTAAGGATATCCAAAGAAGCAGGCAAAACAGGATCTTGAACCCGGGTCCACTTCCCAGATAAGGGCCCTAACCACTAGGCTATTCTGTTGGGATGGGTCTCCCAATCTTTGAAACCTTCCAACAAACATCTAAACTGGTGTGTTTCCTCAAAACAGTTTGGTTTCAACTGAAATGTTTCATCAACATCTTTTTGCCCAGGTTTAGCTAAGAGTATGAATTAGTGATTGTAAAGTGCTTTGAAGATAAAGGCTGGCCTTTTCAAATGAGCTTGAGAGCTGTGCTCAGCTCTTACTGAAATTCAATGGGAGTTGACCTAGCATCCCTTTGAAAAGCCCAGCCAAAATTGTTATGTACATACTAAATACCATTATAAGTCTATCTTTAAGCCTTATTTTATTGTCTTTTAATATCCACAAATAAAATGGTAACAAATAGTATGGCCCAAGATCTTCGGAAATGAATGCCTGAAGTTAGGCCCCTAAATCCATATGTAGGTACCTGACTTTAATTCTATGGGAGCTGCTGAGTGCTCAGGACTTGTAAAAAGCTTTCCTTATTCAGGTGCCTAAATATGGATTTAGGAACCTAACTGTAGGCACTCAGATTTAAAGCTGTTGGCCACAATTTATTACATGAGAATATGTGTGCCTAAAATGATAAATACGTTTGATTTTAATTAAGGTAGTTACCTACCAGCTAGATATTAGTTTTAAAAAACATGACTGCATGTTATTATGTACAAAAGAAAATCCACTCAAACTTTGCATTCTAAGAATGAAATTGTTTTTAAGCCCTGGGGGAGACAAGGAGTGAGGCAATATCTTTTATTGGACCAACTTCTGATGGTGAGAGTACATAGCCTTAGCAGCTAGGGGGATACTTATACTATTAAAAGGAGAAAAC